TATCATATGCAACAGCATTTATTTTAGCTTAATGTATTGCAAATAAAAAACGTTTAGGGTACTGAGTGACCCGCGAAATGTAATCTATTATTTTTCTCGTGGCAATTGGTAATAATTTTTAGACCGTACAGTACATACTAATTTTTTATTACTTGAGCGTATATGTGTTAATACAGGGTAATTTAGAAAATCTGGATCAGCAAATAAGATTGTCAGTAAAGATCCAGGGATTTTATTCTCAAACTTTCTCGCATATTCTCAAAATTATTATGTATATTATTGTAAAAGGACCCCTTGATGATCTTTACATATGGATAGCGTTAAATTCTTTTAAAAAGAGTCTGTTGACCAGATTTTTGTGATGCGATCATATTAACGTAATTTTCCCAAAAGTGTATAACAAAATCCAGTACGTGTCGATCGTGATTCGTGAGTTCGTGACCGTAAATATGATTGGTTTTCATTATCGATATTATCTACGTGATCTTGTAACTGTTAATTACACAAAGATAATCGATCCATACTCCATAGTTATAATGTCAACAAAGCAATATCCCGGTCGAACGGGCAAGTATTAATTCAAATAAATGAAAAGAGCTTCTTATGTATTAGGTGCTAATCGATCATATTTTGTTTTCAATAGCTCTCGAAACCTACTTAAACAGTACTGTACCCAGTTCCGTGTCATACTTAGGATTTTTGAAATCAGCCCGCCACATAATTGTCAAAACACCTCCGTTAACAGAAGATTGGAAAGGGCTCAATGGTGCGTGGTACAGGCGGTTTTCAAAAGCATCAAAAGAACTGAATCCACCGTCAGTCACGGAAGAGGTGAATATATTTTAATTTAGTTGGCCGTAGGGTACCACTTGACAGATATTGCCTGAATCCAGAGTATAGGCACATTTTCCTAACCCAAGTGATAATGAAGAATACCTCTTGACAGCTATTTACCTGAATCCAGAGTATAGGCACATTTTCCTAGTTCTCATTATTTGCGACATGGTCTATTTTGTGATGTTATAGAGTTAGATGTTATAGAGCTTCCTGTTATGATATGGCATGCTATTTATGTTATACATTATTTCCAACAGGATACTCGTCCATATTGGCAGGAAATTATAGAAGAACGCAAGAAGGCAGGTGAAAAACATTTTTATGCACACATGTTAGTTTATGGCTAAACATAAGCAAACTATCAAACCGTCACTATAGAATCGTGTAAAAGGAACTATTCGATCAAAAACAATTGATGCATACCAAGCTGTGGGGGAGAATGTTGGTGATGAGATCGTGGACGAATGCAAACAATCTTCGAAAAGACTCGAGAAGGATAAGCAAGAACAAAGTCGATCTAGAAGCGGTGCAGAATATCATGCCGATTCAAAGGATAATGTTGAATCGCAGGATCCAATCTCTGTATCTGAAGATGATGATTTGGACATATTTGATCAGGTAAATTATATCGGGACGGCCATAAACGTTTATTATTCTAACCACCATCTACTCTTTAAGGAGGCGATTGATCAACAAGGAGAGGTGAAGGAGGCGACCAACGATAAAGTGAAGGAAAACAAAGTAAAACCTCATTAGACCCCTGACCCCTGGTTCCGGTTTTTTTGTGTATACTGAATATTATGTTTTTGCCACTTAGAATGGACCATTTAAACTGAGCGAGACAAATCGTAAAGAGATTGAGGAAGTATATAAATTAATGGATAAGCAATTCATGTGGAAACTTTCATCCGAACGGATTGTCGAAGAAGAGTTATATAAGCTCGGGAAAGATTTGGAGTTTGAGCAGTAAGTATTCATACATATGATTACGTTTTTGTTGTGTTGTAGGAATAATCATACTAAACTATAGTTTTATTCACTAGTGCCGTCCATTCGTTTATCCTAGATGTTGACGATAAATTAATTGCAGAACATTTCACTGAAGCGGAACTTCGTGAGATGGAGGACACGCCTATCCCAGAAGTATCCGAGCTCTCAGATGAAATTATCAATTTACTAAATAAATTCACTGGCAAGGTAATAAATATTTCATTTACATGTTGCCAGCATACTGCAATAAGTCATCAAGTTTTTTCTCATTTGTTGTAGACGAATTTAAACGAAATTCGGCAAATAATAAAGGAAGTAAGTTTTGGCAGTAATTATGACCGTGAGAAACACCACGATATGGACTATATATGCCTTGCATTACATGCGTTGTAAGTAAAAATTCTATTGTTGTCCTTGTGACTTCTTTGCAATAGTGAATTGACTGTAACTACTTACAGAGTGAGGGAAATTGAAAGTGGAAAAATCACGGACACTAACCTTGAAAACTGGTTCAACTGCCATGTTTGGAGTGTGATCTTTGATCAAGCTTTCGGGGATATGAAGACAATAGCTGTTGTCAGGTATTTTTTTTCTTTTTCTCGATGAAAATAACTGCTTTGATTTAACGAGATTTCTTTTTTTAACGATCAAGAGGTGAAAGCACAAGTGTGTCGACTGCGACACGAAAAAATAAAAAAGCGAAAAGGAAATTAGGAGAACGTAGAAAAATCGGTCGAAGAGGGGACTGGATCCTCAGGGCCGTTAGTAATGGCAACAAGGATGAATTTGGAGCTGGGGAGGCAGGTAAATGTTGGCTAGACGAATATGAAACGAAGTATCTTAGGGAAGGAGGATTAAAACTTCCTAAGACACTTAAAGATATGTTATTAAGTTTAATGGAAAGAATAAGTTGGAACAGTGAGATTCGCAAAAAAATACAGACGATGGGATTATTCACGGAGGTATGTGACTGAGCTTATTTTTTTATTGAGAATTATCAGGTGCTTGTCATTAATCAATATATTAATTCTGTAATAGGCCTTATGTTGACAGTGGTATATGCTGACAACCCTAAAGGCTACGTCTGCAGATATCGACGATGTGATACGTTGCAAGTGCCAGACACAGTAGAAAAATTCGATTCCATTTTAATGATCCTGGCATCTGTTCTGAATGCTAAGGTTAGATTCATGCTTTTTGTTCTATGTTTTATTATACAAAGTTGACATATTTGTAAACGTTAGTCTGTAGTTCAAGAGACGGTAAAGGTGGTTCAAACAGCAGGACAGACTACAAAAGCCTTTAAGAGTGCCGGACTCTGAAAACGACCTCGAGATAAGGGTCAACACAAGTTGTCTGCATGTATGTCAACTCCGAAGAAAGCGAAATTATGCACTAAAGTGAATAATACTAGTCCATATCCTGCGTCACCATGCCCTGGAACACCAAATTCAGAGTCATTGATAGCGGAATGAGAATTAGTTTAGTTTAATACCAATATCAAGAAAATCATTATGTTATTTACAATTAGTGCTGTTAATAAATAATTATAATAATGCAACAATTAAATAAACTTAATTCTTTAGCTTGATAATAAAGTTTGCCATCCGCATTCTGGCCTTTTTTACGGTAAAAGCAAAAGTGATTGGCGTGAACAATTGTTCACGCGCACGTGATTTTTATTTTTTCTAAGTAGCACATCTGCATTTGGCAATTAGTGATGGTATTAAAGATTTCGGGAAATATAAGATATATATTAGGATTACCGCCCATGTGAACTAAACTTCGCCCAACAATTCGGGCTTATATTTTTATTTGCTTCGTGAAGGTGTATGAGTGTGTCTAATGTATTTGGAATATGTAATAAATTTCCCTGATAATCCACGATCTAAATTATCACTTGACATAGTATACTACGCCATACAATTCATTCTTCTGCGCAATTTTGACGAGCTTGGACAAGCAGTCCTGACTCTACCATCAGAAAATAAACTAGTCCTAGGTTTCGAAACCGAATTTTAGACTGCGCCCTTGTGGCATTGCCATCAAATATGTTCTTGATCGTCACCTCATCTTTTTTCTGCGCAATTTTGACGAGCCCGGACTGCGTGTCCTAACTCTACCATCAGATGATATTCGGCTGTTTCGGGAGATAAATTTAACTTGATGCTGATCCCATGCATACATCAGAAAAATGTAGGTTTCGGAGCCTGGATGCTGATCCCGCTTCTGCGCAATTTTGCCATCATTATCCATACTTAGTTACTGTGCAAAATCTGATTGGCCGATCATCTCGTGATTTATAGATACTTGCCAGCGCCTGGAACACTCCTAGAACTATCGAGGAACTGGAACTAGGGGAGATCTCATGTGATACGATATACAGAACAGTGCATCATGTCACAAACCAATTTAGCCGAAGGCGCTGTGCATATGCATGTAAATATAAAATTAGCTTAGCCCGAGAGAGGATCTATAAAAATCCCAATCGAATAAAATGAATTTGTATTTACTAGTGTGTAGTCTTACTAGACCGGCTACAAATCAATAAAACCACTATAAATCATTAAAACTGCTTAACCAGCAAATCCGTATAAATTTGAAACATGTTATTCATTAGTATAAGTTACTAAAGAGTTGCTAAAAACACTATAAATCGTTAAATATGTCAGGAAACATTGTTAATAGACCTAGGCCTGGTAAATTCATTGATATTATTTTAGACGAGATTTATAATAAATCTATGCCTAAACCCATCAATCTCCATCCTGGATATGATATTGAATATATTAGAAAACGTTATGGTTTTCTTTATCCTGGTCAATTCGAAAAGATGGTTGAGGTTGAAAAAATATATGATAATTTATCTATTATTAGTTCATATGAAACTCCACAGCAATGGGCTACTTGTGTAAAAGACGCTTTGCAAGCATTGATTACTGAAGGTCATAAAAGCTATTATCATGTATTCTGCCTTTTCAGATCATCTGGGCAAGGAGTAACCAAGATATACTATGATAACTACGAAGGGAGAGAAGTTGCCATTGGTTATCACTAACCTAATATTCACAATAGCAAAATGGCTATTTGTTTTAATTGTTAGAAATTAGTAGAGATTACTGATGTAAAACCAAAAAAAAAACATATTTCGATGGATGACAGAGATATGGGTATAAGATTAAGCCTGAAGACTTAATAAAACATCATTGTGATAACTCATGTTTCAAGACTAATAAACATATAGAAGCCTATTTTCTCGCAAGTTTAAAGTCAGAAATATTGCATGAAAAATTTTCTGACCAGAAGAAGGTATTATATCCTGAAAAAATTACACCTGATTCTCTGTTTTCTAAGCAAACGAATGAAATATTTATCTCGTCTTTATATGCAAAACAAAATAACTTACTAAGTCCCTTTGGGACCCTACCATTTATAAACTATCTTAATCAACCCGCATTAAAATTAAGAGATGGGACAAAAGTCACGATTGTTTAACTGATTTGACTGACTGATTCTGAAAAATATTTCAACTGAAATATAATTTATTTTTTACGCTATATAATCTAGATGATCGCCTATGAAATGTATCACTTGCGGAATAAAAATCTGATTTGCCTATTCTGGGTTAGATCTTCTAATTTATAACGAAGTATTATTTCAGGAAGATCAATGAAGCGATCTTGGGGATTCTTGATTCCTAAATACTACTATCAATATAACTTTAAAAATTTTTATGCAACAGTTATTCAGCGAGCTTACAGGAATTACAAGAAGAGGCCTGAGTCGTTGGCAAAATGGATTTGAAAGGTGGTGAGGAATGATGGTATTCCTAACAATAAGAAGTTTTTAGGTATTATTCCTCGTGGTAAAATATATCATTTCATTAATGAAAAACTAATAGAATCTAATTACGTGATTGACCGATTTTATGTAGAAAATCAGCATAACATTTATTTTGCTACTACTTGGGCAGAAGCGAAGAGAAATCAGTTATATGAACGATTATGTACTGTAGCATATCTAGCTACTTTTAGAGTATTATATCAGCAAGGCTACATAGTTGTTAGAGGCACAGCTTGGTATAACATATTAAAATGGTTACAGAATCCCAAATTTTATCTTATTAATAAAAGATATAACTTTGAGAATATCATCAAAATTTCAGACTGTGTGAAATATAGGGGTAAATCAGTAAGAATAAAAAGAATATGCAATTCACTGTCGTCAGAATTCCTATATTATATTCTAGAAAAAAATCTTACCGTAAATTTTTCAGATTTAGATGAAAATAGTAAGTTCGCACGTCAAATTTTCCAGATCAAACCTTGACTCAGATCCCGAATATTATATTAATAAAATAATATATTGTCCAGCCATACGAAGCGCCTTAAGACTAATGCATGAAGGCATGTACGACATAAATTAGCACGTTTTCGATCCTCATTAAAGTATATATGATGTAATAGGTAATACATCACAAATCATCTGTAACTCTGTGTGACTGCTTGTGCGACTAATTAATTTACACACATAAGAAATCAATTCTTAAAATGTTTCCCTATCTATCTAAATAGCATTTATTTGAGTTTATAGTCAATGACCAAAATTATGCGAACAATTTTTTTTACCAAAATTGGGCAGATCATCATATGATCACGTGATATAAACATTACGATTTTTTATTTATTTATATGATAAACATATACACAAAATTTTTTAGCTATTCCACTTTTAGTTAAAACTTTATGAAATTATAAAGGCACTCACCCCAAAAACCCATGGTGCTATTATTTATGGCAAAAAATGTGGACAATCAGGTCGAACTATTGCTAAAAATTTGAGGTGTAGCAAAACAGCTGTTTATAAAGTACTTAAACGCCATCGTCAAACTGGTTCTTCCATACCAAAAAAACAAACTGGCCGCCCACCACTCCTTAATACACTATCTCAACAAGAGCTTAAAGCTTTTGTACAAGAAAATGGTGAAAATCATCGGCTTTATGCAAAAAAACTTGCAACTGTTTAGACAGCTCGTACAAAAAAACCCATTTCTGCATTTACTATACGTCGTACTCTCAAAAAAGTTAGACTTAGTGCTCGTATTCCTCGTCACAAACCTGCAATGATAGAAGCACATTGTCAAGCTCATCTCAAATGGGCTCGCGCACATGAAAAATGGACAACAAGACAATGGAGAAAAGTGTTTTTTTCAGATGAAAGTACTTTTACACAATTTTAACAAGAACGTCAAGGAAAAGTATGGCGTGAACCAGGAGAAGAATTGAACCCTGATTGCATTTCAGTTACTGTAAAACACAGTCTAAGCAAAATGTTTTGGTGATGTTTTTCTTGGAATGGACTTGGACCAATTGTTCCTTTAAATGGTTCAGTTACTGGTAAAATACATGCTGAAACTATTCAAAAATATGTTGTTCCTACTTTACAGAAGTATTTTCCTTATGGTAATGGAATTTTCTAAGAAGATAATGCTGCACTGCATTGTTCAAAAGTTGCTGCAGCTGCTCATGAAAGTGCTAAAATTGTGATGCTTCCTTGGCCCGCCTAAAGTCCAGACTTAAATCCAATTGAAAATCTTTAGGCGGAAATGAAAATGATAATTCGACGTTATACTCCCCCACCATCTAATATCTGAGAGCTTGAAAAATATGTTAAAAGTGCTTGGAAAGATATTCTTCCGGAATATTATAAAAAATTGATCGATAGTATGCCGCGAAGGATTAACGTGATTATTGCTGCAAATGGCAATAGAATTAAATATTAGTATCGTAATTTTTTTTGTAAAAATCAATTAATAAAAGCAAAATAAATATATTTTACCTTTTGTTTTATTTCCACTTTATTTTATTTATATAAATTTTTCAATTTAAAAAGTGTCCGCATAATTTTGGTCGTTGACTGTAATTCGAGTTATATAAATTTTAAACTTGACTCAATTTGACTCAACTCGAGTTTAACTCAACTCAATTTTGACTTGAATTTATTTGAGTTGAATCAAGTTCAAATCAAATTTTGAGTCAAATTTAAATTAACTTATAAATATTTAAATATGAAAAAATTTATTTTAAATT